AACAATGGCCAACACTGTTGCAACAATTTGTACTTGTAAAAGACTATGGTTTCTGCACACTATTTTCCACCTCAGGGGCTCCTTAGAGAAGTAAATGACTAATTCCAGGATCTGAGACTAGGAAGATATACATGGTGAGCCAGGAAAATCCAATATTATCATCCTATGATGTGGATCAAAATATCGATATTAATAATGGCTACAAACTATATCAGTAATAATATAAACATATTAATCACCTTTGGATGATGATCAGTGAATTATTTTTGAAAAGTTATAAATAGAAACAATTTTATCTTTCCTTTCCTGCATAAATTAGACCCAGGCTAGTCATGTCATAAGCAGTACTTCTTCAACAGAAGTTTTATCACTATCAAATGAAGAAAATATGATGAAATCATAACATGATTATGTTCCAATTCTAAATGAAATGTGAATTTAGACCATGATCACCACTGCTTCCTAAGACTTAGAACTGGTTAACTAGATGGAAGAAGACAGTATCACCTAAGTAGACTTGTCAAAAATATCAAACCTTTTTCTGTTCAGGTCTTTATTTGGAAGAATTCAAGAGCTATAACAATACATTAAATAACATAACAGGGAGGTATGCAAGAAGAAAATGCACAACAGACATTGTGCTTGGTAAGTTATTCTTACAATTCACTAAGAAGTTACAAGGAAAGAAAATAGAGCAGGAACCCATAGACTAAAAAATGACTTGAGGCTAATCAATCTATTGAAGCACAGGAACCTCATTTGGAATCTTGATTTAAACAAGCAAATTGCAAAATATTTGATTGGCCGCCTAGAGATGCAGCTCAGTGGTAGAGTGCTTGCTTTGCAAGTATGAGTTTGCAAGTTTGACCCCTGTTATTAGCACAGTTTGGGGGTGGGGGTAGTGGGAGGTCAGGCACTACAGTTGTGATCCCTTGCACAGCAACAAGGATGCAATCTCTAGAATATCCAAACCAAGTGTGCAATCCCCAAACACTGCAATGACAACAACCAAGGAAAGGGAAAAAAGAAAAAATAATTTGCTTGGTGAAAATAGACATGTGGTGTTCTTATACCTTTTATACACATGCTTAAAATTTTTCGTAGTAAAATTTTAGATAATAACAAGAACAATTAGTTTCTCTGGAGTGCTTATTAGACTCCAAATACTTTTCTAAATACTTTAAATATATAAAATGTCCCCTTTGTGACAATTTATATGGGTAGCTATCTACACTGATAAAAATAGTTAAACCATAAGTCATCAGATAAACATTTTGTTCAAGATAATATAGTTAATAAATTATGGTGCTGGAATTCAAAATGAGGCACTCTGACTCCAGAACCCAATTTCCAAGCTATATATTATTACCTTTCATGAGGCAGTAAGTTAGGAGTTAACATTAACCACATGCCATGCTGTATCTTCCAGGGATGACGGGACAGGTCCAAGATGCAAGTAAGGTTTTAGATGAATCATATTATAGATGAGGATAGTGCTCACAGAAATAGAAAAACTGGAGTGGTTTAAGTCTGGAGGGCAAAGAAAATTTGGGTTTGGAGCACGTTGAGTTTGAGGTGCCTTTGGGTCATCTGAATGATGTCAAGTAACAGCAGACATTTTGGCATTCATTCCTTTTTTTAAAAAATTATTTATTTATTTATTTATTGAATCGCTGTGGGAAAAGTTACAAAGCTTTCAGGTTTAGGTCTCGGTCATGCAAATATCAATCGCATTTCCCTTTACCAATACTTATTTTTCACCACGAAGAACCCCAATAAATCCCCAACCCCCAACCCCCCCCCCCACGTCTGTGGGGTAGATGAATTCTAGTTAACACTCTGTCTACTTTGACTAGCTTCATTGTTTTGATAAAAGTTGCACCATTATTATTTAGACTTTACCCCCCCCCCAAACTCAGCCATGCTGAAAAGGCATTGTGAAATGATCTGCTTTCTACAGCTGGGTTCAAGAATTAAATGATGTTGCGTGGCCGCAATAGCGGCCGCGGGGTTTTGGATTTCTGCTATTTTATTTATTAACCCTGCAAGTATTTCTACTGAGAGTCAGATAATTAAGAGATTGGTCTCTGTGCTTCTGGGGCCGTGGCCGTGCCAGAGAGCCGCTCATGGGGGGCAATGGTGACCTCGGTAGGGCGTGAAGGACGGGCCAGGATGCCCTCCCCACCCCCACCCCCGTCCCATGAGGTATCCATCGCGCCCCCACCCCCGGCTCAGACCTGCTCTCCACCAGGCTCCCATGTGGCCACCATCTTTCTTTCCAGAGTGGAGAGGGCGGAAGGGAGCAACACCCTTTCCAGTCCGGGCAGGCAAGATGGCGCGGATTAATGCATAGTCCGTTCGCTTTTCTGCTCCAAGCAGCTGGTTTTCTGTGTTATCATTCTTAAATGTTAGTTTTCCTCCCCAACCCCCTCACCCATCCTCCTCAGAACTGTCTTTTCTCCTCAGTCATGGATTGAGGGCAGGGCTACCTTTTTAGTTTGTGGTGTCCTAAATATTCTATTCTTATTCCAGAGATGTTGATCATTGTTCCAATTTGATGCCTTTGTTTCATTTCTTTAAGATGCTTTTACCCCATTTTCCAAGAAGCTGGGAGAAAGCAATAATATACCAACCATGTGTGAGTGTTGTGTCCCAATGGCCGAATTAGGCACTGACACTTGGTATCATGTCCTTTTCCAGTCACTCACACAGTTTTAAAGGTATTAATCTCTCCTTTAGGGGTGATTGGGCAGTCAGCAGTACTCAGAAGCTACACATGGTACAGAGCTTGGGGGTCACTCCTGGTGGTGGTCAGGCTGGGGTGAACCATGCAATTCCAGGGGTCAAATACAGAGTTCCTACTTGCAAAGCCTGTGCTCCAACTTTTGAGCTATCTATCTCCCCATCCCTTAAATCTTTCCTTTACAAATGGAGGCTGAAGAATAAATCATTTGTTCAAAGTTGCAAAGCTGTGCAGTAACCAATCAGCAGCTCCAGTCCATGTCCTCCCAATATGTTTCTGTTACTTAAAGTGTGGGTAATTACTTAGGTGGTTCACGGTCATGGCATTTGATTGCACTGACTCGCCCAGAAGGTTCTTCTGTTGTTACTTTTATCCTATCTCTGTTATAACAAGGAGGACAGCTCAGTGCCAACTTGTCTTCAACACAACACACTTGCTAAGCTCCCATTTTAACTTAGAGAGGGGACCCCTCTGGCTCATAGTGTGGAGCAAATAATGGTATACAGCAAGAATTTAATTATTATTCCTAAGGTTACCTTCTGTTTATAAGTGACACTTGTGATTCTATTTATACAACAATAATTTCATAGAAATACATTTAAGCAAAATAGAGCTGTAGGAAATTTTTGTATAAATGAAGCTTAACAGTGGTTCAGAGTAATAGGGAGGAGGGGCTGGCCAGGTGAAACATTTATCTGAACGACTGTTGCAAAAACAGTACTCCTCACTATAGCGCTCCCAAACCAAGAGGACTTTGGTGCTATGCTCAGAACTCAGTGGAATGGAATGGAAGCAACAGCGTGTCTTCTCCTGACCCAGATAATGATGTTAGCTTCCCACTTGGAAATTCCTGGACACTGGTTACTGATGAATACAGCATTTCGAGAGCTAGGGACAGAGAAGTAGATTTATTCTTTGATGATCAAATTGACATCATAGAATGAGACTTCAACTGACCATGTCTTACATTGGCAGTGCTCAGCAAAATAATACTTTGCCAAGAAGTTATACAAGCCAATGAAGATCTTAGCATATCTAGAGGGGTGAATTTTTTTGTTTTCTACCAATGTGCATACCAGTATAAAAACTTTATCACTTCTCTAAAGTCCGTCCATTTCTTGTCCCAAAACCTCTTGCTCCGCATCTTTTGTGCTGGTCTGAGGCTTGCCCTTTCTGGCCCCTTTCACTATCTCCACCACGCCTTTCTCGGGACAGAAGCTGCCTTCAGCATGTGTGAGCAATGGTTGTAGACAGGCTGCCTTTAAACATTTTTATGAGTTCTACTAAACATAAACAAAGGCAGTAAAAATTCCCAAAGCTACATATATTTTTTAAAAGACATCATTGTCACATGGAAGAATTTTGCTTGTGCGCTCCGAAGGAACTGAAGAAGTACATTATAATCGCTGTAATCCTGCTGGGTAGAGACAGTATCTTCTCTTTATTCTAGGTTACAGCTGATACTATCTGTTCTGCGTCTTACTAAGAAAAGAAATCTGTTTCTAGCATAATGCATCTGCATTCCTCTCATTTCCCATCAGCACCACAAAGCCAGTACTTTGGCCACCATTGGGCCTTGCCGCATGGGGCCCAGAACCTAAAGACCAGTAGGCTCTGATTCGGCATTTGGGGGGTTGGGGGGCGCTATATTATTCAGCGAAGGTGGTATAAGGTACAAGGTCAAAGACAAGACAGGTGGCTCTTCCTGGGCGGGGTGCCCCGGCAGCATCTGCGGTGGCGCTCACAGCCACCGAGAGTCTGGCCTCACCAGGACGCCAGGCGGAGGGAGAGGCATGACTTGTGCGCCTTGAACAAGGTGAAAACCCGACTCGGAGAACGAACCCAGCCCCTCCGGTTCCCCCGCACCGGCTGCGCGCTTGCAGAGCGGTCCGTGGTGGTACGGAAGGTGCGGGGTGAGAACGTCTCCTCCCTCGGCGGCTGGGGCTCGGGGGGCTTTCGAGGTCCCCCCGAGCTCGGAACTCAGGGCCCTGCCCAGACCATTGTCCGCACACCTAGTTCTTCCAGCTTCCGGGCCTCGGGCGACATGATTTGCTGCAGATGACATCAGCCCCGGGCCAACGGCTGGAGGAGCGGAGGCAGCCGCCGCGTGAGGATGTGCCGGGTGGTCCTTTCCTCCTCCTCTTCCTCCTCCTCCGCCCGGCTCCCTGCCCGGTGCCCGTATAAAAGCGGCGGCTCCTCCCCGCCCGCGCTCACTCTGCGCCCGTCTCCAGCGCGCGATCGCCCACGGGGCGGAGGGGAGGCGGCGCGCGGCGGGCGCCCGAGGAGGGGGCACGCAGGGGGCGGAGCGCAGCCGCCACCTTCCCCGCTAATCCTTTCTCCTGCCGCAGAGGAGACGGGCGGCCGGAGCGCGACACTTCGCCGACGCTGCGCGGGCCCGGCAGGATGGCGACCGTGGCGGTGGAAGCCGCCGAGCCCGAGCCGTCCGGCAGCCTCGCCAACCCGGCGGCGTCCACCTCGCCCAGCCTGTCGCACCGCTTCCTCGACAGCAAGTTCTACCTGCTCGTGGTGGTCGGGGAGATCGTGACCGAGGAGCACCTGCGGCGCGCCATCGGCAACATCGAGCTCGGTAAGCGGGCCCCGGAGCCCCTCGGGGAGGCTGGAGGGGAGGGGGGCAGTGCATCCGCGCGACCCCACCCAGGGCGTGACGGACACCTTCCTGCTCCCGCGTGCGCCCCGCACCCCGCGCCGCTCTCGCCCGGCCGCCTCCCGCACTTCCCCACCCGCTAGTCTCTTAATTTGGGGAGGAAGAATGAGAGTGGCGAGATCAGCTTCCCGGGGTGGGAGTGGGCGGTGGGGGGACAGTTTCTCCTAATCTTGAGGGATTGTCACCGGGCTGAGCCCTGGGATCCCAGCTGGCCACCGCCCTCTCGGGCTAAATGAAATGCAGGTGTCAGAAAAGCCGAGGCGGGGGTGGGGTGCAACCGCAAAAAGCAAAATACAAGAAAGAATAGAAAAAAAGAAAAAGGGGGGTAGGTGGACCTAGAGGAACCACTCCTTTCAAACCCCCCATTACCCCCGTCAAAACCGCTGCAAAAAAAAAAAAAAGTCCTGCGGCAGAATAGCCACGTGCCGGGGGTCCGCGTGGGAATCATCCTGACGAAGGCCCCCGCAGCCCCCGAGAACTCGAAGCGGGCTCTGGCTTCAAACCTGCCCCCCACCCCCGCCCACTATTTTCCCCCTTCGCTGCGCGGAATGACTAGGCGAGTCCTGGGGCCACGCCCGCTCCCCGCACCCGGGGGACGGACGCGGCGATGGAGAACACGCTGGTGCGCGCGGTGCCCAGACGCCGGCCTCCGGCCCTGGGGGCCGCAGCTGCAGCTTGGCGAAAGGACAATGGGACCCCAAGTTGTGGGGTGGGGCTTCTGCTTTTGAAAAAAAAAAGTCTCAGCCTCGGGAGTGACTGCCCGCGGGAGGCGGGGGTGGGTGTGGGAGGAGACGTCGGCGGGCGAGGGCAGCGCCCCGTCGGCCGGGCGCACCGGGGAGCGCGCTCGGCCGCCGCGGAATAGCGGATCGCCCCAAGCCGGGGCGGGGCGGCGGGGGGACGGCGGCCGGGGGCGCGCCCACTGGGGCCGCCTCGCCGCCCTACCCGACCTGCCGCAGTGCTCCCGTCCGCCGGGGCCGCCGCACCTGCCCCCCGCACTGCGGCGCCCCCGCTGCGGGGGTGGGGAGCGGCGTGCCCCACTCCAGTGCTCTCTCCGGCTTTGTTGCACGCCCAGCCCCCGGGCGGGGAGCTCTGGCCTTTGCTTTTTTCACGAGCCGCGGGAGGCCGCCTTTCCCCCCTCGTCTCGGTCCTCCCCCTCGACCCAGCCGAGGTCGCCGGCCACCTCCCGCGCCCCGGCGCGCGCCCCGCGCTCTCCGGGCGGCGCTGGAGCCGTTCAGCCCGGGGACACCGGTGGGTGGGCGTGGTGCAGTCCGCACTGCGGTCTCTACGGCAGCCCGAGGCGGACAAAGGGCGTTCACGCAGCCCTCCTTCCCCGCGCCCGCCCCCACCTCCCGCCCCCAGCGGCAAAAGGCCGCTGGAAAGCCTGGTTTCGGATGGAGAAAATAAAATAAAATAAAATAAAATAAAACAAACGCTTGTCATCTGCCTCTGCATTTGAAATCGGCCGCTAGTCCCCAGAACAAAAGACTGCTGGGTGGGGACTGGAGTTGCAGACCTGCTTCTTTTGTTTAACTTTCAAGCACTGATTTTTCCTTTCCAGCTTAAAAAAAAGAAAGTGAGCAGAAAGCAGACATGTTATTTTCTTTGAAGAAAAAAAATCAAAAAAAAGATATTTCCGTCTTAACTTGTCTTTAAAAAAAATAACACCCAGTCATCCTTCGTTTTTAAACTGTACACCTTTTTAAAAGCTGTTTCAGTTTAGATGCACATTTTCTACTTGGAAATTTCCCAGTTACCGACTTTGGGTGTGGCTACTGTAGGAATCAATGAGTTTGGGTCTTTTTTTTTCTTTTTTTAAGATAGCATTTGCCAGTAACATAACCGGAAAGAAAAAAGATATGAAGGTGTGCTTTTCTATTTATAAAATTTTAATGACCATCCCATCTGGTGTCAGAAGGACCTTCATCCTCGAGTCTATAAAGATGGGGGTTCAGAGCGGCAGGAAGGATAAAGGGACCTGCTCAAGGTCATGCTGCTGCTGAGTGGCAGAAGTGTCTGATCTGCTGTGCAGCCTCACTGGTTCTCTGGCCCTGTCTGGATGCTATTCCCCGGGCCCTCTGAGGACCATCCAGCGGCGATTTACAGAGCTTGCCTTTGTAGGGGCAGACACTTGTGGGCAGCGCCCCTCACAGTGAGGTAGTTCAACCATCCCCTTGCATGATAATTATCTTCCTGCTTGGTTACTCTGCCCTTCTGTTCTTTTAAAGCCTCATCCTGTTTTTTTTTCTCTTTTTTCTTCTGTTTGCTTCTATTTGAGCATGGTTACTGCACCAGAGCAGCTGGTCAAGTGCTCCCTGTCTTTATCCTTTTCCAACTGTGAGCACTTATGATCAAGGCCAGATTTATCTTTGTGACATTTTGCTGTTGTTGCATTGTGCTGGGGATCAAACCCAGGACCTCCCATGTGCAAAGCTAAGCGCCCTACCGAAGAGCCACATTTCCAAATCTCCTCCTGAGGTTTTTTTTTTTTTTTTTTTTGATTAAAGCTTGATTGCGATCTTCTATAGCAAGGAAAAGAGGCACCATCGAAAAATAAGAAGTTGGGCGGGTTTTTACAAAAGGAACACACCGTTATCCTGCTTAAGAAACAGAAACTCGAATCCCAGAAGCCCCTCCCCACTCCTGTTCCCTTTTTTTAGGCCTCATGCCTTCCTGATTTTTAATTCTCTAATTTGGTTGGATTTTGCCCGCAACACTGAAATGGCTATATTGATCCCATTAAGAATCAGTGGAGTGAGCAAGCAGGGCCATTTCTGTGCACAAGTAACAGATGTTGCTTATCTCTGGAGATTGCTCTCCTGGGCCCTGGGGTCTCCCATCCACTTCAAGCTACAGGACTTTCCAGTGATGAGTGAAGAGGTGCTCCTGCGGCTTTTTTTTTTTTATCTGGCATGACTTAGTAGGCAGGTTCTGCTCCCCAGTGCATGACCTACTACTGTTGCCTCAGCCTTTAGGTCCCAGCGGGGTCTTCTCCAGAGGTGGCCCTGATAGCACTGCTGTTGTTGCTGATGTCCCTGGACCATATTGTGTGAAGCAAGAAGGAGACACTGGAGTGGTGGTGGTGGTGGTGGTGGTGGGCTGGGGCTGGGGGGGGGGGGGAGGGGTTGGGCTCAGAGTGTGGACTGCAGTCTGGGGAACAGTTCATCAGCTGTTACTCTTGCTGCGTATTTCCCCTCCTGTCCTCACGAAGGCTCTGTGGATTTGGAGACCCTAGTGACTTGGGTTTTCGCAATCCAATTACCCAGGGCTCTTTGGGAAGCCTAGGAAATAAATCTGAAGGAAGATGGTGGTAACGCAATAAATCAGCTGTCCTGAAGCATCCCTGTGTGGCTGCTTAGCAAAGCTTCTTGTGAAACCAAAGAAAAGAGATGGTCGCTCATTTTCTCAACTGGATTCAAGAAACAGAGTATAGGGATTGGTCTTTCCATCCCAAGTTCGAAACAATGGGTCTTTTCCTTGGTTGGCCCAGCTCTGTTTATGCAGGACCTGATATTCTGCTACTCACCCTGGCTCCTCCTTTGCCCCTTTGCTATTTCACCCTCAACGTGGACTTCAGCCACCCCCCATCTGTAGCACAGTCGTCCTCTTCTCGTTCCTTCTGGTACCTAGACTACATACATCACATAGAGGGAGCCTGACAAACTGGTGTTTTGAAAGAGATGTTTGTTGCTTTATTTATTTTTTTTCTTTAAAGGAACTAAAATACATAAGGATTATTAAGGGTCAATGTGGTGTATTCAATTCTTGTTAGAGAGTATAACTCTGACACTGGGAATCAGTGGAATTCTTTCATAAAAAATGGTAGATGTGAACATTTACTACCCTAGATTTTTAGATGTAAATTTAGCTGATTACACTGTAAAAATTCTCATGTTGTTTTACGTAGTATTTTTAATCTAGTATGGCTAAGAAAATTAAGAACTCAGTGAAGACATAAGGTTTACTGTTTTAAAAACGTTTGTTTTTGGACCACACCTAGCAGTGCTCAGGGATTACTCCTGGCTCTGTGCTCAAGGATCACTCTTGGTGGGACTCAGGGGACCATATGTGGTGCTAGGGATATTGAACCCTAGTGGTCTACGTGCAAGGCAAGTACCTTGTTCGCTGTACTATCACTCTGGCCCATAATTTAATTTTCATAGAGAAAAAACAAAAAGGTTAAAGGAAATGTTGGAGAGTGTTGTATTTGTCTTTATACTTTTCAAAGTCAAAAGGCAGGTGAATTTCTGCTTGAACTGCTTAATAGTTACTATCTATGAGGATTCTATGATCCATGCTGAAATATACACCAGTACCCCAACATAAGGTCCTTACGTTGATGATTCAAAGACCAGGACTATAGCTCAGTTGAAAGCATGCTTTGCATGTGTGAGACCTGTATTCAATCACTGCTACCACAGATAAAACAAACAAAAAATACTACCTCCCCAATCCTTCTCCCCAGCTTCTAGCAACCCTAACTCACCAAAATGATACTTCGATGTTAATCATCTCTGTGGACTTAAAAAAACAAAACAAATTTTGGCTTTCAGATCAAAAATAAATTATTAGATAGCACATGTTTATTTGTGAGACACTACCCAAAACCTAGAGTATTTATTATCAATGTTTTTAAATGATGAGCTGTTTGTAAGCAATTGTCCGCATTAACATAGCATATATGTTTTGAACAGCAAGTTGTTAGTTTAGACGAAATGAAAAGAGAATTGAAGGTTAGGTCAAGGGGAAAAATAGGAACTCTGTTCTCTGAGAAATAAAGGCTATCTGAATTGAACATTTCCTTTGTTTCACTTCTGTTTATTTTAATATGACTTCAGATCACTTTTGAGCATAGAATTTTTTATCAATAGAATCTCTGGCAATAGAGGTTGATCATTTGCAAAAAAAAGTATATTTAAAAGCTTATTTCATAAAAAGAGCCACTGAAATTTGAAGAAAATTAATTTACAGAAATCCAAATAATTGTCAGAGAATAACCTATGTCCATTTGAATGTGCAGTGCTTGGTCATTTCATTTTCTTTCTTCGTCTACTCTTTCAGTAGCATAGATTATAAATTTTTATCCTTTCAACAGGAGGTGCTTCTATTCCTCCACTGTTGGTTTTATTTTTTTATTTTATTTTTTTAAATTTTTATTTATTTGTTTATATATTGCTTTTTGGGTCACACCCAGCCAGGTACAGGGGTTACTTCTGGCTCTGCACTCAGGAATCACTCCTGGCGGTGCTCGGGGGATCATATGGGATGCTGGGAATTGAACCAGGGTCTGCCACCTGCAAGGCAAACGCCCTACCCGCTGTGCTATCACTCCAGCCCCTATTGTTGGTTTTATTAAGCAGTCTAGCAGAATGCTTGCATGATCAGTGAACGTGGTGAGATGTAGTCTGGCTTTTCCTCATTGTCCACACTGTGAAGACATTTCCCTCCCAGCCCCACTCCCCCAAGCTCTTCAGAACAACTTCCCCTTTTCTCTGTTACACCTTTAAACTTTGTGTGCTCTTTGGCCTCCCAGTTATGCACCATTCTCCCCGGGGTGAAGAATCAGATGAGGTGGAAAGATCCCTGCACCGCTGGCTATAGCACTGGTTACCTTTGTTACCTCCCTGCACTCTCTGGCTATAACACTGGTCCCTGAGGATGGGAGTCATTTCCTGGGCTTGACAAGGTCTGAAGGTCAAGTGGGAGTTTTTAGGGGGCTGGGCCATAATCCAGCACATCCAGTTTTCCAGGGTGTGTTACCCTCCTGAACTGGGAATTTAGAAACAGGAGCTTAATTTCCTTTAGTGAATGCAGTTTTTAGTGGGCCATTCCCCCTGGCCCACTGGGTAAGCCAATAAGAAGGGCCTGCAGCCTTCCTAGAATGCCAACAGTAAGAGCTTAAGCCGGCATGGCATTGGACTGGACATGATTTGGGAATCTCACTCCTAACCCGAGACTTGGCTGAGTTGCTTCTGAGAGCTGCTGTAGGACCTCTTTACCAATAGTCCTCTGCTGCCTCCGGTTTTCTCCCCAGGGAGAGCAGAATGTGGGAAGAATCAAAGGAGACTTTTCTGTGGGGAGATGCTTAAACTTGCTCAATACAATGTGACTTTTCATTGAGAAATTCTTTTTAGTATTAAGATCCAGTCGATGGTACAAAGTAATTACAAAACATCTTATTTTTAAAATTAGTGTTGAAAATGGCCAGGTTCCAAAATTTTCCTTTCCAACTAAACTAACCAGTAAATCCATTGGAACCTTTATTTTATAAGCGGTAGTAGTGATTATGCTTTATTAAGAAGTAATTTGACTAAAATTTTGCTCTCATGAAAAGAGAACCCTAAATTTTTCCATTTCATTGGGAAAATAAAAGTGAGAATTGTTTTTATCAGCCTTTTGCTCATGTGATTTTAAAAGGACTAAGTGGCTTTTCTATTGCAGCATACTTTTTCCACTGCTAAATCACAAATTACAAATCATACAACCAGTTTATGAAATCCAAAGCACACATTTAATTGCATCTGTCATGACAGGTTAATTGAAACCAAGGGGAAAATAGTAAGGAGCAATGTCAGAGCAAGTCTTGTATAACCCTAGATAAAGTCATTCCAATGATGTATAATTTGGACATTTCTTGAGAACAAAGGCAGACAAATGGGATGAATTTAATTTAAATACATATGTCTCATTATTAACTTACTGACCCAGTTTGACAAGCTAAAAGACAAAGTGGAGCTCAGAGCCAGAGCCCGAAGAATCTAGTCAGCAATTCCCAATTAACCAGCTCAGACAGGCATTGGGCGATTTTTCACCCAAGATGCGTATATCGTATACATTGAATAAAATATTCTAATGAATTCAGACCTTTCAACCTGTCAAACTTTCTGTGAAAGAAAAATTTGTCATTTCTGCATTGAAAAAGACCTGCAAAATCTCAACATGCCTTTCTTGTTAAAATTTAAAATACTCCATTAGCACAAATACAAACCAGGGCTATTAAGGCTTCCAGGGAGACCCATACAATTGTCCCTTATAATTTAGCTTCTCTGTAGTACTATTAGCTTTTCCACCACACCTGAATTCTACCCATGGAGTCTATTCTCTAGTTGGTGCACATGTTATTCCTTATAGTTGAAAGGTATCTGTTTGACGTATAATTTGAAGATATTTTAGATGTACATTCAGTTGAGTTTCTAGTACCTTTTGTAATGTGTATAGATTATCCACATCTGTGTATATGCATGTTTATATAATTGATTTCTTGTGAGACAGAAATCCTTTCTTGCGTAGACTTACAAATGGAAGGAAATGAAGATATGCATTAAGGATTTCAAGAAGGATTCAAATAACCCATTGCCATTGATAGTCCAATGCCTGTGTGCACAACGAATGATCAGCAAAAATGGCCGACTGGCTGTTCAGTCGATAGTTCATCTACTGTGGGATATGCAGGCAGAGGTGTGGATCCCACTGATAGTAGGGGTGCATGCTGTCAATGATTGTTGTTCCAGAGGCTTATTCCTGTCAAGTGAGGTTTCACGCAAGGGCGCAATTGTGGCTGCCACAAACTGGCTTTGCCATGAGTAGTTCATTGTGAAATGTGAAAATGCAGACAAACAACCCCTCCCCCCGAAATTTGTGGTCCCCTCGCTAGTTTTCCCTTGGATTGCTTCCAATTCTCCCTTTTCTGATGCCCTCTGGGCTCTCTAGCCAACCTGGGAGAATAGGAATGAGAAGGGCAGTGTGGGGAGGGGGAAGGAAATAACTAGGCTGGTGGGTATCCCTTCTCCTTGCCCTCCTCTTCTCCTGTACCTCCCACCCAGCCCTGGGAACAAAAGCCTGAGCTTTTGTGGGGATGGACAGTTCACCACCCAGCAATTCTGTAGTTTTAAAATGCATAAAAGGTTGCCATATTTCTTTTCCTCTGGATAAGAAAATTCAATAAAGCTAACAATTGTGAATGAAAGAGCTGTCTGCCAAGCTAGTTAGGTGGGGAAAAAATGCTTGGGAGGACGGACAGGCCAAGTCTTGAAGATTGAGATCCAGTCTTTTCACCAAAGATCACACAAAGTTTGGACTGATAGCGAGGGGCTGAGAGATCATGGTCCTCCATGGGGTGGACAAGGGCAGGAGGTCTTGCAGGCACACAAAATGCCTGTGAACTCTCCAAGAACACCATTCGAGTGCCTGCACACCCCTCTTCTCTCCACCACCATCTTCATCCTCATGTGCTAATTTCTTACCATCTACAAGTAGACCATGAGAAACTCAGTATAGTCTGGAATGGGGTGGGGGGGGGCTCTTAATGTCTTCAGAGCTCAGGGCTCACCATCTTCCTGTCCTCTCTCTTCCCTCCCCAGAGCAAAGCCTGTCATTTCCCTAATAACTGTTTTCTTTTACTCTTGGAGAAAATGCTGCATTTACGTTTATGAGGGGGCAGAAGTTCAGTCCACACTGCTAGTTATCCCTCCCTTGTGGTTGGATAGAGAAACCTCCCCGCCCTTTCATTTTGTGGGCACCCACTACTCATCCCTAAACTCCCAGAAAGGGAGTTCCCACATCCTCCATGAAAGCCTGAGAAATCTTACAGTGATGTTTTCCAAACCACTAACTGGAATTCTGTCAACTCTCTTCATCTCCCTCCTCAGGAATTCGATCATGGGACACAAACCTGATTGAGTGCAACTTGGACCAAGAACTGAAACTTTTTGTGTCTCGACACTCTGCAAGATTCTCCCCTGAAGTCCCAGGTGAGGCCTCGATTTGCATCTGTATCCATCATCCTCAAAATGTGAAGGAATGAGGCCATTGCTTTGAAAGTTCTGCCTAAGACATCAAAAAGATGCTTCTTATTGCTATGGGCTTTTTTGTTTGTTTGTTTTGGTTTGGGGTCCACACCCAGTGGTGCTCAGGTTTTGCTCCTGGCTCTGTACTAAAGGGTCACACCTGACAGCATTTGGGGGACACCTGCCTAGCCAGCACAAGTCCTTTAACCCCTGTATTATCTCTCAGGCACCCGATAAAGAAGCTTTTATATTTATTATTATTATATAGGTTAGCCAGAAGTCACATGTTAAGCAGGTTAGCTCTTTAATACCACCGTGTGGGTATTTTGTGAGTTCTTAGAAGTTTTAAAGTTCTGGGTTTCTGTTTGCCTTTTTTTATAAAAGATCACACTGTACTCTGATCTTCATGGATTGCAAACTACCTCAATGTTAATTTTACTCAGTAAAGTTATGAGTACTAATTGATTGGCCCCATAATTCCACAGTCTCCTTTCTGTCCCAGAGAAAGGAAACATCTTTATTTAAGAATGAAATAAATATTTTCATCATGACATGATCAGCCCCTTCGTGTGGCTGCAAGGGTCTCACATTCCAAACTGTGATGAAAAAGCTTTTCTTTCAGAGACGAAGAAGAATTCTGCTGCCTATTTAAAGGTAAGGGCACCAACACTTGTCATCTGTGGAGATATGACTCTTGATCACATTCTCATTGGAGAGGGACAGAACTGACCTTTGCCTCTAGGCTTGAGGGGCTGTCAGACTCACCCCCACTCCATGCCAGCCGCTCCTGCTCCTCTGTGAGCAGTAACCCCTCTTCCTTCTCCCGAGTCTTGTTAGAGGATAATGAAACAGTGTTGCTGAATAAAAACACACCAAATGTGGAATAAGTTTCTCAGACTCTGGTATTAATTCGTCAGAGATACTGCCTTGCTTTTTATTTCTTGGATGTCACTGGACTTTTTGTAAAAAAAAAAATAGGGGAACTCCTTTTGTAATATGCATGGTTTTGTTGTGTGATTGCTGATTTTGTTGGCATTGATGTGAAATCAGGCATGCCTTTTAGAACAGATGACAGCATGTGTATCCCATTAGTCTTGTGCACTGTGAGATCTGAAACCACTTATGGAATGTCAGTGCCTTAGTGAGTCAGGCCCCGCTGCAGCTGTGTACCCAGATTCCCAGGTCTTCTTTTGGTGTCTGATTCTAGAATAAAACTGCATACATTTCGAGTTGGGGCTGGAGCGATAGCACAGCGGTAGGGCGTTTGCCTTGCACGCAGCCAACATGGCCGACCCGAGTTCGATTCCTCCGCCCCTCTCGGAGAGCCCTGCAAGCTACTGGGAGTATCTCGCCCGCACGGCAGAGCCTGGCAAGCTCCCCATGACGTATTCGATATGCCAGACACAGTAACAACAAAGTCTCCAATGGAGACGTTACTGGACCTGCTCGAGCAAATCGATGATCAACGGGAGTGCCTTTACTTTTTTACTTTACATTTCGAGCAGTCATTGAGTAAATGTGCTAAGAAGAACTTTCTAAGAGCTGCTTATTAAAGTTGTGGGGTCAGAAAGATAGTACAGAGAGTAGGGTGCTTGCCTTGTACCTGGCCAACTTGGTGCTCACATTCCTAACACCCCATATGGCCCTCCAGCACAACCAGGAACCATCCCTGAGCACAGAACCTGAACAAAGCTGGATTTGGCCCATTGGGAAAAAAAAAAAAGAAGAGTTACATTTGTTGCAAAGACTCAGGGAAGACCAGCTCTTAAGTTACTTTGCATTGAGAGTGATTTAGACTATATAGGTCGGTATATGATCAGCTAACACAAAGCTACTGTCTATGGTTGTTGTTCTTGTTAATTCAGTTGTATTTTTATGTTTTGTACCTCTCTGAAACTTTCAACATCATCTCCTACACATAAAATAAGGGAAGCAATTTTCTTCAACCAGTATATTCTAAAATGGAAAAGCCAGAGCCTTTGTCCTTTCTATGTAGATTGTTCTGACTGTTTTTGTAAGAGTACTTTTATTTACTTTTGTTGTCAAATCCTGTGATTCCCAAGTGTGTTCATTCATACTTAAATTGGTTTTATAAAGTAGACCCTGTGTTTTGCAAAATGAAAGGCATAAGAATTGCTGACAAATTAACCTTTTTTGGATCAAAGACCTACTATTAATTTTGTTTGGGGAGGTAAGTTCTACTCAAGCAGTGGGGAGGTAAGTTCCACTCAAAATGCCACTTTAGCTCATTAAACTACCTACCCCATTCTCATGCTGATACAGTAAGCATCCCCTGCATAACTTGTATTGATGCTGTACCTGATACTGTATTGAGCTTACCTGTGTGCTTTTTGGCACCTCCACACCACCTCACACTGTGGCCAGTCCAGGAAGATTGGATAGTCTGACCTTTCCTGCAAGCCTGGAGTGTACCATGCAGGCCGGGCGCTCCTGGGAGCCAGGCATGTAGAACAGAGCTGAAGGTGTGATTCCCCATGCGGGGGCAGGGTTGTGTGCATATGAAATTTTCCAAACACAACCACAGTAGGTTATGTTAGATGAAGTTCAAAGTTTCAGAGAAGAGCTGAATTGTGCTGGAGGACCAGGACATGAAAGTGGGGTGAAGAGAAACCCCCAGGATGACCATTAAGTTTGGGTCCAGGGCTGCCACATGCTTTGCTTTTCCTGAATCAACTAGAAACTTTTAGGGAATATTTTGAAGCCTATTTTTTGTTGTTTATTTTTGGTTTGAGGGCCACACCTGGCTCCGCTGAGATCTGAATCCTGGCTCTTCACTCAGGGATCAGACCTGATGAGCTCAGGTGACCATGTGGTGTGCCAGGGATCAAATTTGGATCTGCCAAGTGCAAGGCAAGCACCCTGCCTGCTGTACTATTCCCAGCCCCTGAAGCCTGTTTTTAAGAGGGCCCAAGTCTAGGGGGTCTTTTTCCTACTCACTGAGCATTGTAGAAGGTAACATATTTCTCAGGTTCCCTGAGAGACAGTGGAACATCTGCTTTTAGAATTTCAAAATTTTAAGATAATTCAAAGGTAAGGAAGAACATGAAGAAAGAATTGCCTTGAGGAATGTGTCTGTTCGTGTTAACTGAATAACTTAAGCAGCACCTGCTGTGCGCCAGGTCCTGAGGAGAAGGTGGAGGCTGCTGGCATGACGAGGAACCTGGCAATCACTTCTTTGATGTGTGTCATTCCCCCATTCCCCCCTCCTGCACCCCGCCACACACACACACACACACACACACACACACACTCACACACACACACAGTCCTGGAGAGAAGATATTGCAGCAATCCCAGAAACCCATTAGAGTGCTAGCACCCAGCATCAAGCCCAGACAGATTTCTGTTTTGTTTTATAGATTAACAGGGTTATAGTAAAATACTCACTGTCTTTCTTTATACATATAGTTCAGGGCTAGTGTCACACTTACAGTTTGTTTTAGGACCTGACAGAGCTTAGGCCTTGCTCCTGACTCTGTGCTCAGGAACCACTCTTGGTGGGAACTGGGAACCATATGGGGTGTCAGGGATTGATCCTGGGTAAGCTGCATGCAAGGCAAGTGCCTTACCCATTGTACTATCTTTCCAGCCCCTTATGAAAAGCTTAGAGCTATTTTTATAATACCAAGTTATTATACCTTTGTTGGTTTCTGTTGCTGTTAAAAGTAGAACCCAGGTGGGGGCTAGAGCGATAGCACAGCAGGTAAGGTGTTTGCCTTGCACGCGGCCGACCCGGGTTCGATTCACAGCATCCCATATGGTCCCCTGAGTACCACTAGGAGTAATTCCTGAGTGCAGAGCCAGGAGTAACCCCTGTGCATCGCCAGGTGTGACCCAAAAAGAAAAAAAAAAGTAGAACCCAGGACCTCATCCAGAATAGGCTGACAGAGTTACATCCAATTTTCTTTCTTGTTTTTTCCCTTTTTCTTTTTTTCAGTGGGAGGGAGGACCCACCAGGTGATTCTTGGAAAACCAAGCAGGCATCCTGGGGATTTCTGCAGTGCTGTCTTCAGTAGCACTTCATGCTTGGGGGATGAACTGGGGTTAGCTGCATGCAAAGCATGCACCCCGCACTATCTCTCGACTCTATTGTTTTTAAAACTGGGAGATGGATTCTCAAAGACTGGTGATATTGCAAAACAGCTCACAGATTGTGGAGGCAGCACAGCCAGATCTGTTCCCTTGTCCTCATGGACCCCTTGTACTTGCTTTTAAAATCTGGTTTTGAGATTCAGCTTGGCTCTTTCTGCGGGTATTATTCAAGAGTCCTCTGAAAGGTTAAGTCATTTTGAATCCATATTCTGTGAGTAGGACCCAGTAGCATGAGTACTTTCTCTGTACAAGGTGGGTGTGATATAGTAGGAATGATGGTGGGAGGGACTCCCCCAGTTCCCCAAAAGGTGAGCTTGGGGACTGCTAGTCCTGCTCCAGCTGGCATGCTCTGGTTCTTGGAATGGTCTCTGGGACCATCTTTCTCTCTCACCTTGTTGCAGGTGTTACTTGCTTGCAGGTCATTCCACAAGCATCTGCTGTGTGTGCTACAACAGAAACTCACATTTCTGGTTCCATCTAATTTGGCTCAAGCAAGACCAGTTTCCTTGAGAGAATAGCTCAGGTCCTAGTTCCTGAGCACTGACCAGGCTTTCACGCAAATGAAAGTTCAGCAAATCCTTATGAAATAGAGAATCTGTCATATGTACTTGTTTTATGAACTCAAACACTGTCACAAAAAAATGTCACTTAGATAGTCATGTGACTATATTCCTGTGGGTATATAGAAATACAGGGCATCTCCCAAACAGTGTTTTGAAGACCACTCCTGGAAATGTTTGACCAACTAGAATAGAAGACTCAATGCTTGAGGCCAGCGAGCTGATACTGTTCAAGCCCAGTGATTCTGGGGGGCCTCTGGGGCCGTACTCAGCAGTGCTTAGGCACTTCTG